AATAATAATAATAATAATAATAATAATAATAATAATAATAATAATAATAATAATAATAATAATAATAATAATAATAATAATAATAATAATAATAATAATAATAATAATAATAATAATAATAATAATAATAATACTAATAAGTTTCATCTTATGTGCTTTCACATGAACTTGAAACAGGATTGAAATGGAGAACGCTGTATACGGTCCCCGAGATCCCTCACTTCTGTATCTTCAGAATGATCATAGATCAAGTGTTCTGACGGAGTCTAATATGGATACGAGCATACGAGTTAGACGAAGTGATCATGGGATATGGAGTGTCTTTCATAGGCCGCACAACCCTCATCCTCATCCTCGGGTGTTATCTTATTTGGTCCAGATGAAGTTATATGGTGTATATCGATGTCGACGTATGCAAGCAGATTGGGGACTTATCACTGCATTAGTAGAGAGATGGCGCCAGGAGACTCACACATTTCACTTGCGTGTAGGGGAGGTGACAGTCACCCTACAAGACGTGGCGTTGATATACGGACTACCGGTTGACGGACGTCCGTTCATAGGAGTTGATACTCATCGTAGGACTCGTGAGTGGCAGCAGTATTGTATGACATGGCTGGGATTTACACCGGATTCATCAAAGATAAAAGGATCGAAGTTGAGCGTCAAAGCCCTTAGTGAATATTTAATCAATAATCCCGTTCTTGATAATAGTACATATGGGCATCTTATTCATTACACTCGAGGGATTGCTTTTCTCATAGTAGGGGGGATTATGTGTCCCGATCACACTGGCGACTCTATTCCGTTGATGTATTTGAGACATTTAGAGGATCTTGATGCTGTCAATACATATAGTTGGGGTAGTTGTACTCTAGCAGTCCTCTACCACGAGTTGTGCAAAGCATCGAAGATATCTGCAAAAGAAATCAGTGGTCCTGTTCAATTATTACAGGTAACATATGAATTACTTATATAATTTAGTACATTAATACATTTAATTTGCAGTTTATATTATAAAAAATTATACTCTTGTATTATTTAACAGATATGGGCATGGATGCGGATTCCTCCATCAAGGCCCATACCTACTCTGACAAAATGGGGCACAACACTTGAGTATGCAGGATATGAGTTTCCCGTACCACCTTACGGTGCACGGTAATAAAACACTTAATTACTTAGATTTTTTTCTAAAATTTTCTAAATAAAACCTTTTATTTTTGTCATTTTGAATTTCTTTATTTTTTTCTTACAACAATATAATATGATTTTAAACCTTATCTTTATTATTATCTTTAGTTTAATATATAATAATATATCACCGGTGGACCAACCATGTCAGCTTCATTGAGACTGGTGCACATGTTCTTCGTATTTTTAGGATGATGTTGGATCAGATGCTCCCAGATCAGTTTATATGGATGCCATATGATATGGATGATCCGGAGTATCAGGCTGTAGCTGGTGATTCGGATATCACATGTTCAGGTATATGGGTATCGAGAGTCCCCCTGATATGCTACGCAATTGTGGAGATGCATCGACCAGACAGAGTAGTACGTCAGTTCGGGATGGTACAACCCATACCTGAACCTCCTGAAAATACTGAGACGGATTTCCGGATGCACGTCAATGATAACCGTACAGGTGCTACCAACCGAGACTAGAGTCTTACACATGTTTCGCATGTTACCGCTTGGGATAATAGGCTCAATTATATTATTGATTATCCATATGCCAGTGACAGTCAGACTACAGAAGATGGTTATTTTGAGTGGTATGAACTGCACACCCGCCGTTTCATATCACCGATTACCCCATTTGATCGTACAGGATTTCAGGTTGGAGGTCAGATTTCAATGGATACAGTGGTACGTATTCAAATTTATTTATTATAAAATTTTGTGTATTATATAATTTTTATTAACGTATGTCTTCTAAAAATAAAATATTTCTTATTACTTATTTCAGATTCAACATCTTCGATCGTTGATTGTTTCTGTTGATGGCGGAGACATGCCTCGGGATGGCTATCGTTCGTATTTACCGACTCTCAGAACATGTCTTAATGTCTTAGAGTCTCGACACGGACCTTCAGATAGGCCTCAATCTGAGATGCCTTATACTCAGACTCACCCTCAGACTCAGACTCAGATACCACTGTCTCAAATGCCTCAGTCACAGACTCAGATGTATGCTGGCGAGGCAGGAACTTCTTCTCGTGCATATTATCCGGCATTCGATAATTATACAGATCCTAGATCACACAGGCATCCATCTGGTATGTTTAGTACCTTTGATTTTATTTCTAATACTATCTACAACTGTGAGTATAATTATAATCTCGTTGATGCAGATCCGTACACCCCATACCCCTACTTTAATCCGAATATGAATTCGGAAGACCCAGTTCATTTGGGGTCTACGCATCAGTTTTCGTCTTCGCGACCGGTAGATCATCAGATCACACCTATTCCTTATTCTCAATCCGCAAATTCTTCAAGTGATGAGGATGAACAAATTGGTAGAGGGCACAGGACTAGAAGGCCCCCAAGATGTGGCACCGGAGGTCACCGTCATTGGTGATATTATTATTGTAGTTTATGTTGGTTATTTATTAAAACTTTTTAGTATTTTAGTTATTCAATAAAAAACAAATTAAATAAACTTAATGATTTAGAGACAAAAAATATTTCCCAATAATTAGGCATTTTATTATTATTTAATAAAATATGGAAATCAGACGGAATGGATCGGAAATGCCTTTTTTGGAAATTTTTCAATTTTTTCGGAAGTTAAAAATAGGTTCCAATTTCCGTTCCAAAAAAATCGGAATTTCAAAATCCATTCCAATTTCGGAATACCTCGGAATCGACGGAATTTCGGAATTTTCGGAATTGCATTAATTCTTAATGTTTTGTTCCAAAATCAGAAATAATGGTAATTTTTAGTACGATAAAGCCTTGTGGCCAGAATCTGGCCGGCCAAAAAGGCTAATTCTGTAAATTTAGTGAAAAAGTATTATGTTCAATTACTATGCTATCCTTTAGAATCACGATTAACTATTCCAATTATCAATTAGACACATAATTGTTGTAATTAGTAAAAAAGTGATCATATAAAAAAAATCAATTTATCATATTTCTAGAGAATTAAATTCGTACAATGTTTATTCTAAAATTAAATCTTCAAGAAATTGTCTATTTTATAATTAATCGAGATGTTAACTTAAATGTTGATCTTAAGATCTAACAAAAATTAGAAATTTCACAAAGTTCATATTAAAAAAATATATTAAGTAGATAATTATAATAATGTAAAATATGATTCTTATCATAATTGTCATATCAATAATAACATTAATAATCTACAAACAAAACTAATATAACTTGATATATTTACTCAATACTAATCCAATAATATGATATGATTGTACCTTATTTGTTTTTGAATTTTTCATGAAATATCTTCTATACATGTCTGATAATAAAATTGTATGAACTAGAATACTTAGAATTTTATAAAATATATACTTAACCTACGTACACTTCAAAATTATATATATATACTTCGATATTTAGAAATATACCCATAGAGATTTATATATTTTATGAGTGATCTCATCTCTCTATATATATATATATATATATATATATATATATATATATATATATATATATATATATATATATATATATATATATATATATATATATATATATATATATATATATATATATATATATATATATATATATATATATGTATATATATACACATATGTGTATTGTTTGTGCGTGCGTGTGTGACTAATGTTAATAAAATGATGTTGTAGAGGAGATACCTGGCATGCCTTTCACAGAGAGTAGACCCTTTGTCCAAAACAAAGCTGAAAGAACCAAATAACTTTTAAGACATACAATTCAAGAAATTGAACTTAATTAAAATGTGAAATGTAGTTTTATTACCTGTACTCGTCACTAACCCCATAAGCAAAAACAATATCCTTAAACTCCTCCAATACAGCGGCGGCGCATGAATTCATTAGATTTAGAGCTTGTGCATCGTTTGGCTTCTCAAATTGATGAACATCAGAAAAGCTACCATAAATTCCCCGAAAATTGCAAACCAACGGATTGATATTAGTAATATGAAAACAACATTAATCTGCGTCGGCACAAAACAAATTATTTGCAATATTAGATTTGGATATTTACCTGTGAAAATGGCAACCATCGATTCGAACAACAATCCAAGTGGACGGCATCAACCGGCTCTCGTGTTGGAAAGACTTTACATACTCGGATTTGGTTTTGCTTAAATCTTCAGTAAATTGACCCAACTCCTTCACAAGACACAACTGGTTGTTCCAGAACCTTCTAGAAGCAATATTTTCTGAATAAACTCTTGTGAACTTCCTCTTGCATCTTTTTACTGCACTGCCATCCTCTTTGTACTTCACTATATCTTCAACCTACTCACAACAACGAGATATTTAACATAGTTGATGTTATATTAACCACTTGATAACCATAATCAATCAGCTTAGACGAAATGTGAAGCTACCCCTATTTTCGGCGATAATGAGTAACATTAAAAAAAAAAATAAAAAAAAATAAAACCTACCGTTCTCAGAGAACAAGTCCCTTGGCGAAATATTTCCGGGATGTCTTTCTTGTAATTGATGTTAAAACTCTGGTAGAGTAATTCATTTCTGTCTTGCTTCAGAGAGCCCTAAAAACATCAACAACGAGTTATTTTCAGCGGCTGCAAAATAATGATCTCAAAGAAACGTATAGGCAAAATAAACAAGAGCACGTCTTGAAAGAGAATAGAAATTGTACATTTCATTTCACATTGTGTATATGGACGATATGTAGTGTTAATAAAACTAGAGTTTTCCTCTCAAATCAAGGACTGCTGATTTGCAGTTTATTGCAGAGCAGATCATCAAGGCGGTCGATGTACATAGAATTTCATCCTAAAAACTCTTCAATGTAATTAGAAGGTAAGTAGATAGACAAATAGCATGTTCAAAGAATACAAATTTACCTTCAGCATTTCTTCCGCTTCGTTTTCAGGCTTTCCACTCTTAATCAGCTGCCAGAAACAAGTGTCGTACTGGTTATTTAAGTGACCTGCCAAAAGAATAACGAGTTTCAATTTCTCAATTTAAAACGAATTTTAAACAGTTTCTTCAATGTAGAAGATAAATGGCCATTACTCGTTATACAATGTACAGACTACAACAGAGTAATTCTAATCCTATGTACCCGACATGAAGATTTAGAGATTTAACACATTGATTAGATACACCGAGATTATCTCCATACAAGATAAAAATTAGATGCATCAGGGGAAATAGTCGAAAACTAGCTTACACTCAGATTGTCTCCATAAAAGATACGATTGAAGAACCTCGATTGAAGCACAGCCAATAACTCGTGATCGAAACGAAGGGGCATATCTTAAGTCCTTTTGAGGGAATTGTGCTTTCCACTTGTTGACGTAAACAGATGTGAAGAAAGATACAATGAGGGAGTGTATCTTGCTGCAAAGAAATACAATTTGATGTCATGCTAATAAATTTATCAGTTCTATAATTTTTTTAAAGATTAAAATAAATCTTTAAAAAACACTTATTTACATTTTAAACACTAGTTATCTATTTTTCTTTACTTGTCAGGTCAACCCACAAATATTATGTTATCATGTCTTATCTTGCCTTTTAGAGAACTTTTTTGTTAGACGTGCCGGGGTCCGATAAAATAATTGGATTTTCATTCAATTATTTAATCTTATCTTGACTAATTTTATCTTGGCAACCAAACGAGGCCTAACAATCTAACTAATAGGATTACAATTAAGATATCACCCCGTGGAACTCCTTGGGTAATATAGTATTAAAGTGACAAAATGTATTCTTATAAATAAGTGTTTGAAAGTTTCGTGTCGTAGCAAACACCATTAAAAACCGGTAACTGGTAAATAAAGGCAGCTGTAACCAAGTGCTATGAATCAACAAGCATACTAATCGAATTATTACAATTTATAATTTATATGTACGACACTGCCTGTTCCGGAAAAAAAATTGTGGAAATTGTAATAAACGGAACACGAACCTGGCACGGCGCTGGTAAAATTTTGTCGTTTTTTTTAATACGAAACTGCAAATACAACAAAATATCATACAGCAAACCTAAAAGACACATAATTTAGTTGATTAATTTAAGATAAGATTATTTTTTTACCTGTACTCATCACTGAAGCCATAAGAGAATATAATATCTGGGAACTTCTCTAAGACGGCGTCTGCACACAAATTCATCAATTCCAATGCTTTCATATCGTTTGGTTTCTCAAACTCGTGAAATTTAGAAAATCTAATCCAACAAAAAAAAAAAAGGTCAGATGAAATTTAAAAATGTGCGTCAAATAAATTAGAATGAAAATGGATTTATTACCTGCAGAAATTACGGCCGTCGATACGAACAATGATGATATTGGGCAACATGATCTCATCCTCCACCTCAAATGATCTTACATACTCGTACTTGCTGTTCGCCATTTCAATAATTTAAACCCCAAATTCAAGTTCAAAAATGTCTGAACGATCACCGAAACCCTTCTCCGAAGCGAATTTAGGCCGCCGCTTCTGAAATTTCAATAGAATTGGACAACAAATTTCCTATTTGGAAACGAGTTCCTCTCTCACGAATCGCACCGTCCGCCGTCGTTACCACGTGGCGGTCACTGTCGCCGGAGAACTTTTAGCGGCGCCGGAACTGTTGTTTTCAATTAAGCTTCAATTTTTACCGGCATTAAATAGTTGTTGAGTAGTTTTGAGTTTTGAGTGGAGAGTGAGTGTTTAAAAACCCTCGATGGCGGTAACCTAGAAGATTTGCTTCGTCACTTCTTCAACAGAGAGAGGGGTGGGCGTCGGATCGGTGAGTCGATAGCATACCCGGTTATTCTTATATGGGCCGGGCCGCCTATTTTTATGGGTTAACTGCAAAAAATCCCCTAAACTTTGGACGTTTTTGCCTTTACCCCTGAACGGAAAAAAGTTGCACGAGCATACCTCAACTTACGTATTTTTAGCACCGATTAAGAAATAGTCCATTTTTGGACATTTCTGGCCGGAATCAAAATCACGTGCCTTGCACGTGAATATAGCAGGGGTAAAATAGTATTTTCCCCTTAACCCCCCTTTCTATCTCACGTTTATTCTTCTTCACTGTTATTATTCACTCACAGCAGTTTTTTCCCCTTTACGAAATATTTAGGGTTTTTCTATCTCTGCTAAATTGGGTCGATTTCTGTCCGCTCCTGAAGTGCAAGATGGTATGGAGGTTGCGACAAGCCAGTAGTGATGTTCCAGATTACGGTATGATGTTTGATTTGTTGATTTCCATGTCTTATTATAACTTTTGAAAAGAACCAATTTTTTATGTTGGGTTGTCGAGTTTAGGTCGAAAACGACAATGAAAATAGAGTATAATACTAAAGTGCCCAGTTTTTTAATGGTTTAAAGCATATGGAAACAAGACATTCTTGGTCTTTGTCTGCTATTGATTTTTTTTCAAGTTCTGGACCACTTTGTGGGCCATTTTTATTTATTTATTATTGTTTAATCAATTTTTTTATTTACAGTTGTTGACTTAGTTATTTGTTGTTGTGTTTTATAATCCAGGTCCTAATAGTGAACACTTCACAATCAAAATGTATCATTCCGGCAAGTTTCTAAACCTCAGTGGAAGGTGTTATTTGGCTGGAGATATTCACTTCTTCGATTACTGCTCAGTGGATGAAATTTCTATGATAGAGCTTACTGAGATGGCCAAGGAGTTAGATTTGAAAGATGTAGTTGGGTTCCTCCACAGTAGACATGGGTGTGATGATTTAGTTTTGCTACAAGACGATAGTGATACATTGAATTTAGGGCACTTTCTTGATGAGGAAAGGGTGGCTGCAATTTATGTTCAACATCAAAGCGTTGAAGAGTCAGGCAATGAGAATTTGGGTGAGTCATCTGCACAATTTCCAGAAGTAAATGAACCAGTTGGTTATGCACGAGATGATGATGAGCCTGATGTGTATGAAAATGCTAGTGATGCCTCAGATTCTGATAGTGTGCCTGAGTTGAACCATTTTGATGATGGTTTGATTGATATGAATGACAGTGGAGGCAGTGATGTGCAATCCCTTGGGGAGGATTCAGAATATAGTGATTTCTTGGTTGACAGTGAATGGTTTGAATCTGATGATGATGTTGACTATGATGACTATGTTGACTTCAGTGTAGAATGGGGTGGCTTAAGTGATAAACCATCAGCAGACAGTCCAACTGTCAAAAGACCACTAGAAGATCTAAGAGACTAAATAAAGTGGTTCATGAAGAGGTGGCATTCACTAAAAAAAAAAACCAATTCACACATCATAAGTTCCCTGTTTTCAACCCTACAGTGGACATGGTCAATCCTCAATTTCAACTTGGTCTCTGCTTCTCTGATATGAACACTTTCAGGGATGCTGTGAAACAACATGCTGTTATAAATGGCAGAGACATTAAGTTCTCAAAGAATGAGAAAAACAGAGTTCAAGCAGTATGCAAACATGAAAGTTGTCCTTGGAATGTTTATGCATCAAATATGAGAGGTGAGGCCACCCTACAAATTAAAACCATCCATGCAGTCCATGAGTGTAATAGAAAAGAGAAAGTTGCTTGTGCTACTTCTAGTTGGTTGGCCAACAAGTATCAGGACAAATTAAGAAGTGATCCAAACTGGCCAGTTGACTCAATGATGAGTGTTGCTCAGAAGGACTGTAAGCTGTTGTTCAGTAGACACCAAGTGTATAGGGCCAAAAAAAAGGCTACAGAAATGAACACTGGCTCAAGTGTGGAACAATATGGGCTTGTTTGGAGATATGCTGAAGAAATAAGAAGATGTAGTCCTAACACCACAATTAGAATCAAGACCAGAGATGATGGAGGCAAGCTGAAGTTCAAAAGAATCTACTTATGTTGGGGAGCACTGAAGCAGGGCTTTCTAGAGGGGTGTAGACCCATAATTTTTCTTGATGGTTGCCACCTGAAGTCCTCTTATGGGGGGATTTTATTATCTGCTGTGGGGATAGATGCCAATAATGGTATCTATCCATTTGCTTATGCAGTTGTTGAGAAGGAGAAGAAAGATTCATGGGTGTGGTTTATGGAGCTGTTGAAAACAGATTTGGAGATAGAAAACTGTGGTCTATGGACTATTATGAGTGACAAACAGAAGGGATTGGTTGATGCAGTTGATATGGTGATGCCTAACTGTGAGCACAGATTATGTGTGATGCATTTGTATTGCAACTTCAAGCTCTCACACAGAGGATTAGCTCTGAAAAATATCTTGTGGCAAGCTGCAAGGGCTTCAAGAGTTGCTGACTTTGACAAAGTATTGAGGGAGTTGGCTGCAAAAGACAAAAAAAGCATTTCAATGGCTTGCCAAAAGGCCAGCAGCACACTGGTCTAGAGCATATTTCAGTTGCAATTCCAAGTGTGACACTCTGCTGAATAACATGTGTGAAAGTTTCAATGCCTTGATTTTAAGGCCTAGGACTCTGTCCATAATTGACATGTTAGAAGCTATTAGGATGATTTTGATGAAAAGGATTCATGTGAAGAGGGATAAAATGGCCAAATACAGAGGGAAAATATGTCCTAATATCCAAAAGCAGCTGGATGTTTCAAAAGAGAAAGCAATGGAGTTTATTGCACACTGGAATGGGAAGGATCAAGTTGGCCACAATCAGGAAAGCCTAAATTGCTTCCCCCTGACATTGAAAAGATGCCAGGAAGACCAAATCTAAACACTAGAAGAAAACAACCTGGTGAAGCTAATGGGCCAAAGGATATACCAGCAGCAACTAGCAAAGGCATAGCAAAGATTGGAAAGCTGGGCAGGCAAGGTGTGATTATGACATGCAACCACTGTCAAGAAAAGAGACATAATGCAAAGGGATGTCCATTGAGGAAAGCTAGTGGAATTGGCCAAGTACCAACCACCACCAAAAGAAAGGTATGAGCCTTACATTTATTAAGTATTTTCAGTATTTTTTTATGTGACTTTATTTGTAATTATATACTGTTATGAGCTTGTAGAGAAAAGAAAAGAAGACTGATGTTGGAACTAGTGGAGTTGAATCTTTTATGCCTACTGCAACAAAATCAAGTGGAGTTGAAACTGTTAAGCCTACAGTTGTTCCAACAAGAACAAAGTTACCAGTCACCAGAAGAGGAAGAGGCAAGAGACCAGTGGATAAGGTAATTGTAATGATTTAATAGATTATTCTTATTGAGGTACAATTAGTCTACCATTATACCATTAATACTTTTGCCTAATAGGTTCAAGGTGGACTAAGATTACTTGATGAAGAGGATGATGAAATGCATATACCTACAGTAAGTCTACCATCATAGGGCAAGTTGTAAGATATTGAATTATGTTAATCTTGATTTACTCTATAATTTTGCAGTTTCAAAGCACATTTGGGAGTGATTTACAGTTTGAAAACAATACTGAGAGTGATTTGCAGATTGACCTTGATTTAATTGATGAAGTGTATGCTGAATTGAAAATGCCTCCAGTAAGTGTGTGCTGAATTGTAAAATAGATGATTTTGACTACATGATTTTGACTTATTGTATATTTTTGCAGGCTGAAAACAATGATGTCAATAAAATGCAAAATGAGAGTGAAGTGCATATTGAAAGCAATGTTGAGATTGAAGAGAATGCTCCAACTAAAAGAACATGCAAGAAGAAACAATCACAGCCACCTACAAAAGGGCCCAACAAGAGTCTGGGGATACCCAAAGCAAGAACACCAAGGAGACCATTTTTTTCCTCAAAGAATGCAGCCCCAAGTACACTTGAAAGCAGTCAACAATCACAGCCACCTGTTCAATCAAAAAATGCAAGTGACAAAGGCAAGGCTGTAGTTGGAAGCACTCAACAATCAAGAAATTCAAATGTTACAGACAAGAGTGCAGTTGGAAGCAATTTCAAGCACTCAAAAATCTTGTCAAGTAGCCAGCAGTCTTATCCATTGACTCATTTTCAGCCAATGAAGGCAATGATGATAGACATATACAACAAGAAGCTCACAATGCCAAGCACCCAACAATCAAACACCTAAACCAAAAAATCATCCATTTATTTTGTCTGATTTGTTTTTTTGAATTAAACTTGCTTTTTGTGGATCCACTAGGTGGATGAAACCTGCATCGTTTGGATTAAACTTGTGTTATTTTGTAGTCATCATGATTTGTAGAATTTTTGTATGGATTAAACATGTGTTATTTTGTATGGATTAAACTTGTTTTTCTCTATTACATTATGTTGATGTTTCTGAATTGAGTACATAGCAACACAAAGAAGTCATTTTTTTTAAGAACAAAACAGACAACTAAATTTCATTAAGAACAAAATAGACATACAAATAGAGTGCTCAAATTGACAATTAAATTTCATTAATTCATTAGAAACAGCCATTACATCAAAACTAACCATTTTCTAACAGAAAAACAGAGTACTCCAAACACTCAAATACATAACCACTATATCACTTTACAGAAAACAAGACACAATTAACGATGAAACAAACATTCCAATCCACAGCCATTTTTTCATTTCTTGTTTCTTCTTCAGGTCCTCTTCAAGCTTGTTGATCCTACGAAGCAAACCAGGTATGATCTGACGAGCTCTTTCACACATAGGTGGATCAATCCAAGCAAAATAGTAACAACCCCCAACTTGCTAAAAAAAGAGAACAAATTCAGAAGAAAAAAGAATGAATATAGATGTCTTGCGAAATCAAAATCAGAAGAAAAAAGAAGAAACTTTACCCGATATTTTTCACACGTGGAGTATCTCCTTCCTGGGTTGAGGTCAGTCCATGAAGTTTTCATGGTTAGCTTTCTTCCACAGTGGCATGTTAAATCCATTCACGAATTGGGACTGAAATCGCGTGCGAGAAGAGGGAAAAGGGGGAAGAAGGGAGATGCAGGTTCTTAATTTAGGGCAAAATTGTGTTAAAAAGGGGGGGGGGGGGGGGAGAGAGAAATGGAGGGAAAATAAGAAGAAGAATTAGCGGGAGATAGAAAAGGGGGTTGAGGGGAAAATACTATTTTACCCCTGCTATATTCACGTGCAAGGCACGTGATTTTGATTCCGGCCAGAAATGTCCAAAAATGGACTATTTCTTAATCGGTGCTAAAAATACGTAAGTTGAGGTATGCTCGTGCAACTTTTTTCCGTTCAGGGGGTAAAGCGCAAAAACTTCCAAAGTTTAGGGGATTTTTTGCAGTTAACCCTATTTTTATTTTAATACCCCACTTATTTCTCACTTTAATGTCCGGTTAAATAAAAGGGTTTATTTGACAAAACTCCCTTGTGAGACACTCCTCCCGGAGTCCAAAAAGAAATCGCATTTTTAAGATAAATCCAAAATATTTTTAATTAATAAAAAATAATATAATTTCACTATTATACCCTCTTCCTATTTACCATATACCTATTATTTGATATTAATTTATAATTATAATCTCCACCCAAATTCACAAACTCATCCAACCTATTTCATCTCTCGTCTATTTATTTTTCTCGGTTTCTCCCAGACCTCTCTCCGCCGCGCCATCTCTTCACTCTCCGTCGCAGTCGCCCCCTTCCTCTCTCTGCACCGCTCATCGTGCAATCTATGTGCGGTGGTAAAAAACCAAAGCAACGGATGTGGTCTTTCTCCTTCAGCAATCGTGCGCTAATTAGGATTTTCTATGATTTGAAAACAGGGATTAAGACTCCATTAGTAATGACCTGTCGTCGGTAAGTTCATCAATTTATTTATTGGTTTTTCAAAATCCTATCTCTTTTTGTTCTCTGAATTGGAAAATGGGGCCAGTACAAAATATAAACCCTAGTGCCTTTTCAATTAAAGATGTTATAATTAATTAATTATGTTATAATTACAAAATTTTATCTCTTTTTGTTTTCTTTTTGAAATCACTTTATAAGTTATGATTTCCTTAATCTTCAACTCTTGGTTATTTTTTCTTAACTGTTTTTTTTCTTTCTATAGTTGATTTTGGAGTATGCTTGTTCACATATGCTTGCCACAGAGTGGTTTTCACATAATTTGTGACTGGATTTCAGTATCGTATTTTCAGTAGACAATTACTTTGATAGTTGATTTATAGATAGATGAATATGTTTGTTATTGTTTAATTTTGTTAATTTTCTGGATTTATTAAAAAAAAAAAAAAAATTGGATTAGTAATTATGTTTTGGTAGTAGACCTTATTAAGTAGAACACATGTAATTTTCTAAGTTGCTTTCATATTTGAAATTAATGATTTTGATAATATATTACTGTAATTATTCGAGTCAAGATAATTAGTGATTTTAATAATACATTGTTGTAATTACCATTCCCAAGATAGTGTGTTATATGGATACGCACAGTAGTACTTTATACAGGTGTAATTGTATGAATATGCTGTTTTTTTGGATCTTACACATAAAATTTATGGAATTGATCAATAATATATTTTGGCACATAAAAACCTCAGTGACCACATTTCCATATACAAGTTTTGTGATCCATCTAGCAGTTGTAGATTTAAAACTACTTGTGGATTCAAAACCACTTGTGGATTTAATACGAATTTTTAATTCGATGTTTATATAGTTGTGTATACAGAGTGGTTTTCAATGTTTAAATGGTTGTTTATACATAGTGGTTTTCATGTTAATATAATTGTGTGTACATAGTGGTTTTCATGTTTTTATAGTTGTTTTATACAAAGTGATTTTCATGTTTATATAGCGGTTTATACAGAGTGATTTTCAAAACGTTTCAAATAACAAGAAGAAGATGATTACACGGACTATGCTCTAGGGTTCATTGGAGAGAAGATGGTGTTCTTTATAGTGGTTTTATAGCTTTTTTTTCGCAGAATTTTTGATGTTTTCTTGTTAGAATTCATAGTGATTTTCGATGTTTATATAGTTGTGTATATAAAGTGGTTTTCATGTTTATATAGGTGTTTTATACAGAGTGGTTTTCATGTTTATATAGCTGTTTATACGGAGTGGTTTTCATAATGTCAGGCTTTGTCTTTGATAAATTTATAGTGGTTTTCAACAATTTTATAGTGGTTTTCAATAATTTTTGTACATATTTTTATATAACTGTATATACAGAGTGGTTTTTATGTTGACATAGTTGTTATACAAAGTGGTTTTCAAGTTTATATAGTTTTTATACAGAGTGGTTTTCATGTTATATCGTTGTTATACAGAGTGAATTTCATGTTTATATAGTTGTTTATACAGAATGGTTTTCATGTTTATATAGAGTGGTTTTTATTTAAAAAAACTAGAAAGAAAATAAAAAAAAACCATTTAAGAAAAAAATTAAAATTAAGAAAAAGAAAAACCATGAAAAAACGAAAATAAAAATAAAAACATTTTTTT